GTTGTTGATGACTACTCGCGCTACACCACGGTCTTCCCCTTGCGCACCAAGGGTGAGGTCCCTGATGTTTAGATCCCTTGGATCCGCGCTTCTCGTCTCCAGCTCAGCGAGCGTTTCCACTTGGACTTTCCTGTCCTGCGCTTGCACTCTGACAGAGGTGGTGAGTTCTCCTCCGACCTCTTGGCAGCCTACTGTGCGGAGCACGGCATCCGCCAGTCGTTCACGCTTCCAACCTCTCCACAGCAGAATGGGGTTGCTGAGTGCCGCATTGGCTTGGTCATGGAGGTCGCTCGTACCTCCTTGATCCATGCGGCTGCCCCCCACTTTTTGTGGCCGTTTGTGGTCCGATACGCTGCGCATCAGCTCAACCTCTGGCCCCGTGTCTCCTTGCCGGAGACTTCCCCGACACTGCGTTGGACGGGAGAGGTTGGCGATGCGTCGCGTTTCCGGGTCTGGGGATCTCGAGCTTTTGTTCGCGATATGTTCGCGGACAAGCTCTCCTCCCGCGCTGTTCCTTGTGCCTTCCTTGGCTTTGTCCCGGACGCGTCTGGTTGGCAGTTTTACCACGCCACCTCGCGCCGGGTCTTGCCCTCTCAGGACGTCACTTTTGACGAGTCCGTGCCCTACTACCACCTCTTCCCCTACCGAACTGCCCCGCTCCCCCCCCCCCCCCCCCCCCCCCCCCCCCCGCCTCTCTTCCTCGCGCCAGGTGCTGCTATGGTAGACCCCCTCCCCCCTCAGGGTGCCGCTCCCTCAGGTGTGTCTCAGGTAGACCCGGTTGAGCCTGTCGAGGTAGCTGTCGACTCTCGTCCTGCTAGGGGTGCTGAGCCTAAGCGTGCGGAGCCTGGGGTTGCGGAGTCTGGGGGTGCTGAGCCTGGGGGTGCGGAGTTTGGGGGTACTGAGCCTGGGGGGTGCAGAGCCTGCGGGTGCTGAGTCTGGGGGTGCTGAGCCTGGGGGTGCGGAGCCTGAGGGTGCTGACCCTGGGTGCGCGGAGCCTGCGGGTGCTGGGTCTGGGGGTGCTGAGTCTGGAGGTGCTGAGCCTGGGAGTGCTACACCTGGAGGAGCTCTCTCCTCACAGCAGCTGCGTGAGTGGTACTTACAGTACTGCAGCCTCAGGAGAGCTGCTTCTGGAGCTAGGAGTGCTGCTGGAGCTGGTGCTAGTGCTTCCCCTCCTAGGCGGGAGCTGCCCTCTCCCCAGCAGCTCCGAGAGTGGTACGCACGACGCTGCAGTCTCCGGAGTGGCGTTCCTAGTGTCGCGGACCCTGGTACTGGAGGTGCTGCTGCTGGTGGCGGTGCTGCTGGTACTACTGGAGGTGCTGCTGGTGCTAGTGCTGCTGACGCTGCTGGAGGTGCTGCTGGTGCTGGTGGTGCTGTTGGTGCTGCAAACCCTGGAGTTGGAGCTACTGCTGGTGCTGAGGACCCGGGCGTTGGAGCTGCTGCTGGTGCTGCGGACCCTGGAGTTGGAGCTGCTGCTGGAGCTGCGGACCCTGGAGTTGGAGCTGCTACTGGTGCTGCGGACCTGGGAGCTGGTGCTGCCGGTGTAGCTTGAGACCCTGGAGCTAGAGGTACTGGTGGTGCCGCTGCTGGTTCTAGAGGCGCTACGCGGCCGCGGCCGTACTTTGCTCCGCTCCTTCAGCAGGTTCTTGGTCAGCGGTCCTGCTCCCTCCTTAGAGTGCCCTCCGCCTGTCCAGTCGCAATCACAGTTACCGCGTGCCTCGCCACTCCTTGGTCCTTCTCCTTACACTGGTCCGACAGGCGGTGTCAATGAGCGTCGTGAGCCTGAGTCTCGTCCTGTTCTGCCAGAGTCTCGGTCTGCGTTGCCTGTTTGTGCTGCTCGCACTGGTCATCAGCGTCCGCCTTCTGTCCCAGGCACTCACCAGATGGCGCTTCTTCCTTCCACTGCTCCTCAGCGTGTCCCTCTGCCGTCTCCTCCTACGTCCTCTCTTCCTGCTCTTGCTGACCCGGAGTATGACTCCGTCCGTGCTACCAGTCCTACTGTCACGCGTCTCGTCGCCACTGATGTCATTGACCCTACCTTTGAGTCCTCTGCTGCGTCTGCTCTCGTCGCTGAGTTAGTTGACTTGACTGCCGCTTGTCGTCTAGACTACGCCGCTAGCCTTGTCGCTGCGTCTGAGTCTTTCTGTCCTCCGTCCGTCGGGGGTGAGTGTGCTCTTGGCACGGACGTCCTTGAGGACAAGCAGGAGGAGTTTGAGTGCTTTGCCACTGCTTTACCTCATCTCGTGTCCATGCTGGTTGCCCCCGAGGGAGACCCGGATGCTCAAGACATCCCGACCCCGCGCTCTTACGCTGAGGCGATCGCGGGTGAGTACTCCTCTCAGTGGCAGATAGCCATGGACGCAGAGATGGCTTCTTGGAAGTCCACAGGCACCTACGTCGTCGAGGTTCCCCCACCTGGGGCGAACATCGTCAGTGGCATGTGGATTTTCAAGGGGAAGCGGCCGCCGGGTTCTCCACCTGTCTTCAGGGCGTGTTACGTTGCACAAGGCTTCAGTCAGTGAGAGGGAGTTGACTTCTTCCAGACCTTCTCCTCGACCCACCAAGAGAGACAGAGGTGGGAGTAGCATAGCGGGCCTTGATCGCAGTCACGAACTCACTAGCCGAAAGAACCTGAGTGAAGTGGGCCTCCTCAGACTCAGGGAGGAGGCTGCTGAGGGTGATGCAGGCCGCAGCGTCACGCAACTTCCACGCTGTGAGGTCAGCACGTTAGCGAGCATAACGATCTCTGGCTGCATCGCTAGGGTCAGTGCCTAAGGGTGCACGATTGTCGGACTTAGGAAGGTCGCCAGAAGCGTGCGCCCACAGAGACTCATCCGCCTGAACCTTACTCTCTAAAAGGCGGCGCGCACGTAGGAGCCAGGCGGAGAACTCAAGCGGCCTACCCTCGGCGTCAAAGCGCAGAACCCTGAGGGTCGCCAAAGAGGTAGCGAAGGGGTGGGAACTGCTGTTGCCGGAACCCTAAACGCCTGAAGGGCCTGCGTAGAGCGTGACAGACAGTGCGGCGCGACGGGACAGGACGCAACTGGCAGGAACGGGCGCAACAGGCGCGGACGGGCAGAGTGCACCGGGCGCGAAGAACGGGCAGGGCGCACGGGGCGCGACGGACGGGCAGTGCGCACGGGGCGAGACGGGCGGGCAGGGCGCAGCGGGGGCGCGACGGACGGGCAGGGCGCACGGGGTACCACGGACGCGCAGGGCGCAGCGGGGGCGCGATGGACGGGGGAAACAGTGCGACGCGGGCATGGGATGCGACGGGCAGGGGACGGGACGGCAGCGCGACGCGACGGGCAGGGGACGGGACTGGCAGCGCGACGCGATGGGCAGGGGACGCGACGGGCTAGGGACGAGACTGGCAGCGCGACGCGACGGGCAGGGGACGCGACGGGCTGGGGACACGACGGTCAGAGGACGCGACGAGCAGGGGACGGGACAGGGAAGGGGACGGGACGGGCAGAGGACGGGACGAGCAGGGGACGGGACGGGCAGAGGATGCGACGGGCTGGGGACGCGACGCAACGGGGAGTGCGAGCGCTACGGGCGCTTCGTAACGGAGCGGGCACGCACTAAGGGCGCTACGGGACGAAACAGGTGCAGCGGGAACAGTCGACTACGTGCAACGGGTGCGAGAGGCTCTAATGGGATCCCACTGGATCCTAACTTGGGTGATACCATGTCAAGAATGAAAGTGTTGGTTTGACTAAGGTTGGTTGGGGTACATAAACCTAACCCTATCAGTTGTACCCCCTAAAACACATCACTAAGACTACCACATCTGACATCTGCCCCAACGTAAACATCCTAAAGGTTGTCTCGCAGATACGTCTCGCCCAAGACATCCCTTCGTGGTAATTTTAAGAGGGTGCACTCCTGCGCCGGAGCCTCTGAGCGCATTACTTGTCCGTTGTTGGCGCATTACTAATGCACCAACAGAACGCAATGCAGCCAATGTGCCCTAGCTCATTGTATTGTTTAATTAGATAGTGCAATTTTAGCTGACTTTCTCGATTGCACTAGTAACAACGTGTTACAACCCAGGTCTGATAAAATAGTGATCAACACGCACACCCCCCCCCCCCCCAACTTTCCAACATCTACGAACGCATCCTTTGCCACGCACCATTGCAACTATCATACGTTTGACCCTCCCCCGCTAGCCCACTGGAATGGCGCATGACCGCGCGACTGCTTCTGAAGGTTGCCGAAAACTTATATACTCATGGTGAGGTTTGCGTGTAAACCATGCGCTGTAACGCGTACGGCTCGCTCCGGGATGTAGCTGCTTGGCGTGTAGCAAGCAGTTACGGTTAAACCCATCGCGTCAATTGCGGCGAATGCTGCGTCGAGCGTAATTCCGCGAGGCCGCAAAGGCAGCGGCGGCGCAAGCTCGTCTCTGCCGCTTCCCCCCACGCTTCTCGCCCCGCAGTTCCCCCGAGCAGCCGAGGCGACTTGTGTTTTGAGTGACTCGAGTTTCACACAGCCGCTCCTGCCCGGCGCTGCCTGCTGGGTGGTTTTTCTCGCGCGGGGGTCGTCCCTTCGCCGGGAAATGCGGTTCCGCACGCTGCCGGGGGCGAGGCAGCGATTCCGCAGTGTTTGCGCCCGCACTCGTCGCACGCGCTGTGCGAGGTGGCAGCGGGGGAGCACTGGACGCCCCGTGCTTTTGAGACCGGAACAACCGTTGCCATCACACGTGCCCACGACCCCAACAACACGCTCCCTCGAACAACTCTCGCCATCACTTTTCCCCCGCCTCTCCCCTACCTCTTCTCCGCTACCCCCTCTCCACGCCGCACCCCCACCCCAACAACCCCAATTCTCCATTCCCCCTCTTCCCCCACCTCCGACCCCACTTAAACCCCGTCCCTCCGCCTGAATCCCCACTCAACCCCTTTCTCGTTCGAGGGCCAATGGGGCCAGCTCGTTTGAAGCACCAATTGGCCCTCTAACGAGAATGGGGTTGAGTGAGAAAGGGAAAGGGCCGCGCAATGCCCTTCTGGCTTCGCCACCTCTCCCGTTCGCCACCTCTCCCGTTCGCCACCTCTCCCGTTCGCCACCTCTCCCGTTCGCCTCCTCTCCCGTTCGCCATCTCTCCCGTTCGCCATCTCTCCCGTTCGCCACCTCTCCCGTTCGCCACCTCTCCTGTTCGCCACCTCTCCCGTTCCCCTCCTCCCCCGTTCCCCTCCTCCCCCGTTCCCCTCCTCCCCCGTTCCCCTCCTCCCCCGTTCCCCTTCTCCCCCGTTCCCCTTCTTCCCCGTTCCTCTCCACACGGAGCAGCCTCCCTGCGCACGGAGCAGCCTCCCTGCGCACGGAGCAGCCTCCCTGCGCACGGAGCAGGCGGGCGGGCAGTTGGGCACAGCAAGATGCGCATCTCCCCTGCCGGCCTGCCCCACTGCGTTGTGTCGCCATGCCTCTCTCTCTGCTGGGCTGGGAGACACACCACACCACCCTCCCCCTTCCCCTTCCCCCAATCCCCACCTCCCCACCTCCCCCTCTCCCCCGATCCTCACATCCCCACTCCACATGGCAAAGCCTCCCTGCGCACTCGCAGCCGGGAAGGCATCTCCTCGCTGGCCACGGGAAGGCATCTCCTCGCTGCCCACGGGAAGGCATCTCCTCGCTGGCCACGGGAAGGCATCTCCTCGCTGGCCACGGGAAGGCATCTCCTCGCTGCCCACGGGAAGGCATCTCCTCTGTGGCCCGCCTCAAAGGTCCTCTCCCCTGGGACAGCTTTTCAGGCGCCTCAAAGGTCCTCTCCCCTGGGACAGCCATAACAGCGGGCAGCACTGATGCACCGTGCAGCGCCATCAGGCGTGGAGTGGAGAAGCGCCCTTCACTCCACCAGCCCCCATCAATTCAATTCAACCCCGCCCCATCCCCTTCCGCGCATGCCATACCTTCAGGGGCCTCAACCAGGATGGGAGGACTAAACCCCTCCACACTCCTGTGAAAGCGCCTTTCATCCCTTCCAACCACCCACATCAGCCCAACTAGCCCTTTCTCACCCTCCACGCATTCCCCGCCCCTTCCCGGGCGTGTGAAGTGAATGAAGATGGGCGGGTCACGGGCGCGCTGGTGCACCCAGCAGCACCACGAGCCCGGGAGAAGCGCCATTCTACTCCTCCGCCCCTCCACACTTTGTTTTTCAACTCGCTCCTGTCCTCCATGCATCCCTCACCCCTTCTCCCTCCCCCTCCCCAGGGGAGCGAACGAGGGTGGGCAGCTGGGCAGGCGGGGGTGCACTGGCGCACTGAGGAGCAACACAAGGCAGGGAGAAGGCGCTGTTCCCTGGCCCTCACCCACCAATTCAACTTGCCCCTTTCCTCCATACATGTCCCCCTTGCAGGGGAGCGAACGAGGATGGGCAGCTGGGCACGGGCGCACTGGCGCACTCAGCAGCGCTGCAGCTGGTGCCGGCGCTGGCAGGGGCGGACGTGGTGCAGCTGGTGGGTGGCAGCAGGAACTCCCTCGCCCTCACACAGGATGGCCGGGTGAGATGAACAGTATGGGTTCCCTCCCCAAAACGTGTTTCCTTTGCACCTATCTCTTGCATTCCCCAAGGTCCAAAACGTTCTTCCCCTCTTCCTTACCCCATGTGCCGTCTGCACAGCACCAATGCCTGTGCTGCTCTCGAACCAGCACGCATCAAGCCTCCTCTTTCCATCCTCGCCTTGGTCCATCCAGCGTGTTCACTGAGGAATGTCACCTGTGCGGCGATATCACCCCTCCCCTCCCCATCCGCCAGGTGTCCGTGTGGGGTTGGCACAGCACCTACACTTGTTGCAGCCACCCACACAAAACCCCCTCCTCGCCCTTAAGGACCTTACGAGCCCCACTCACTCTCCAGGTGTTTGTGGGGATGGAACCAGCACTACACAAGTCACACCCTTCCTCCTATTCCCCTCCTCTCCCCACCGCCCCTCTCCTTCCCAGCGTCCGCTACCCACCAGGTATTCGTGTTGGGAATAAGCGAAACCAGCACTTGTTGAACATTTTCTCTTCCCCCCTCCTCCGTCCCCCTCTCTCGCATTCCCAAGTGTCCGTGCAGGGGTGGAATGAGCCCTTTCGAAAACATTCAACACCCCCCTCTCCTCCCCAATTACCGACCCCCACCACCAGGTGTTCCTGTGGGGGTGGAATCAGCGCAGCACGTTGGGCCATCCACCCGCCCCGGCCGCCCCGCGAGAAGCCGTCCCCTGCCAGGTCAGCTGCCAGGTCAGGTGCCAGGTCAGGTGCCAGGTCAGGTGCCCGTGCCTTGTGTGCTAAACGCTTCCTTTCTCCCGTTCCATCCACGTGCAGGTGGAGTCGCTTAAAGACGAGAAGATCGTGCAGGTGAGCTGACTCAGCTTGCAGGTGAGCTGACTTGGCTTGCTGGTCAGCTGACTCACCATGTATGTGCGCTGTCTCAGATGATTTAGCTGTTAGCTGTCATTGTTACCTGCTGTCATGATTTAGCTGTTATGAATGCCCATCTCTGCTGCTCATTCCTTCTTTTGGACTGCTGACATTGCAGGCAGCCGTTGGAGGATGGCACTGTCTAGCCGTGAACGAGAAGGGGACTGCTTTCTCTTGGGGTGGGTCTGTCCGTCCTTGCCCTCCTGCACTTCCTCGCTCGAGATTACTCCCTCACACCCAGAAATGCTCCACATTGCACTGCAGTGCGTTGTATTTCATGCCATGCTGCCAGCTTGGTAGATTAGGGCCCACATAAAGGGGATGGTCTCTTCGTGTATCTACTGTTGAATTGTGCCGGTGTTGTTCTTGTCTTGTCTCATGCGCCTCGCTTCCCTCTTGCTGAGGTGACAATTAGCAGGGCAAATGCGACTCCATATCGGCCCACAAGCTGATGTGGTAACCATGTTACCCTGTCATGTTATGTGGAACCGTGTCGGTCACCAGTTACCTTCTTATCCATTATTTTCCCCCATTTTAGGCGGCAACGAGTATGGGCAGTGTGCATCCAAGGTGGCGGACAAGCTGATGTGGTAACCCTGTTACCATGTCACAGTGTTACCTGGTACCCCCTGTTTTACTCTCCCTCCCAGGCGGCAACGAGTACAGGGAGTGCGCAGCCAAGGTAGCAGACAAGCTGCACGGCAACAAGCTGATGTGGTAACCCTGTCACCTCATTGTGTCACCCTGTGTTCCTCCCCTCCCAGGCGGCAACGAGTATGGGCAGTGCGCAGCCAAGGTAGCAGACAAGCTGCACGGCAACAAGCTGAGCGCCCGCGACATCCTCTCGCCCTTCCCCTGCGTGCCCCAGCTGCGCGTCAAACAGGTGAGAGCGGTGTGAGTAGGTGAGAGGTGGGAGCAGGTGAGAGCTCTGTCCCCCTTGTCCCTGTGTCCCCCTTGTCCCTGTGTCCCCCTTGTCCCTGTGTCCCCCTTGTCCCACTCTCGCTGCTGAGTCCCGCCTCTTTGTTTGCCTTACCGCTTTCATCTTTGTTTGCCTTACCGCTTTCATCTTTGTTTGCCTTACCGCTTTCATCTTTGTTTGCCTTACCGCTTTCATCTTTGTTTGCCTTACCGCTTTCATCTTTGTTTGCCTTACCGCTTTCATCTTTGTTTGCCTTACCGCTTTCATCTGCGCTGCGCGCACCTCCACTACTGCATGCCCTTATTCCCTATCCCACCATGACCGCATGCCCCGATACCCTATCCTTTCCTATGCCCCCATGCCCCCATGCCCCCAGGTGGCGGCGGGCGGCACGCACTCCGTGGTGCTCACGAGGGAGGGCGAGGTGTGGGTGTGGGGACAGCCCTGGCCGCCCGCTGATGCGTGAGTACAGGAGAGTGTGACTGGCTGTCCGTGAGTACAGGAGAGTGTGACTGGCTGTCCGTGAGTACAGGAGAGTGTGACTGGCTGTCCGTGAGTACAGGAGAGTGTGACTGGCTGTCCGTGAGTACAGGAGAGTGTGACTGGCTGTCCGTGAGTACAGGAGAGTGTGACTGGCTGTCCGTGAGTACAGGAGAGTGTGACTGGCTGTCCGTGAGTACAGGAGAGTGTGACTGGCTGTCCGTGAGTACAGGAGAGTGTGACTGGCTGTCCGTGAGTACAGGAGAGTGTGACTGGCTGTCCGTGAGTACAGGAGAGTGTGACTGGCTGTCCGTGAGTACAGGAGAGTGTGACTGGCTGTCCGTGAGTACAGGAGAGTGTGACTGGCTGTCCGTGAGTACAGGAGAGTGTGACTGGCTGTCCGTGAGTACAGGAGAGTGTGACTGGCTGTCCGTGAGTACAGGAGAGTGTGACTGGCTGTCCGTGAGTACAGGAGAGTGTGACTGGCTGTCCGTGAGTACAGGAGAGTGTGACTGGCTGTCTGTGAGTACAGGAGAGTGTGACTGGCTGTCAGTGAGTACAGGAGAGTGTGACTGGCTGTCTGTGAGTACAGGAGAGTGTGACTGGCTGTCCGTGAGTACAGGAGAGTGTGACTGGCTGTCTGTGAGTACAGGAGAGTGTGACTGGCTGTCTGTGAGTACAGGAGAGTGTGACTGGCTGTCTGTGAGTACAGGAGAGTGTGACTGGCTGTCAGTGAGTGCATGTATCGCATTGGGCTGTGACCTGCTACCTGCGACCTGCTACCTGCGACCTGCTACCTGCGACCCCATGCATCCCCCAATCTTCCACCTCCATGTTCCACTCATGGACCTGTCTGCCACCTGGCCTTGCGGTGCGGATGGACGGCCACGTGCTGCCGTGCGGCATGCCGTCACCTCTCGCCCTCCCCGTCCCCCGGCCTTCTTTCCCCATTCCCATCCCCCTTCCCCCTTCCCCCTTCCCCTGTCCCCCTTCCCCTATCCCCCTTCCCCTATCCCCCATCCCCCCTTCCCCTTCCCCACCAGGAAGCACGTGTGGGTGCCGGCCAGAGTACCCGAGCTGAAGGGCGTGAGCAGCATAGTGGTGGGCGCGTGTCACAACGTGGCGCTAAGGGGGGACGGCCGTGTGGTGGCGTGGGGAATTCTATCGTCTCAGTAGACACCTCTTCGCCCTCCCCATCCCCACATCCCCCATCCCCCCCTCCATCGCCATCCCCATATCCCCCGCCCCCCCTCCTTCCCCAGCAAGCAGGTGTGGGTGCCAGCAAAAGTACCCGGGCTGAAGGGCGTGCGGAGCATAGCGGTGGGCGCGTTCCACAACTTGGCATTAAAGGGGGACGGGCGAGTGGTGGCGTGGGGCAGCAACGAGTATGGGCAGCTGGGCACGGGGGACACGCAGCCGCGCTCGCTGCCTGTGGACCTGCCTCAACTCACCCACGCTCATGTGGTGCGTGCTGCTTGCATGCTGTCATCACACCTGCGCGCAATCTGCTTGCACCCTCACCCTCATTCCTCACCAGCTCCAGGGCGCCCTCAAGACCCTGTTCACCACTTCCTGCATGCTGTGCTCCCCCCGTGTCCACCCTCAAGTGCTCAAGTGGTTCTTCAACTCTCACGAACGCTGCAGTTGCAGCAAGGAGAACCCGTAGTGATTGGTTTGGCCCAACACTTGCACCCGTGCAATGCGGCAGAACCAGAGACATGGATCTTCTGCTGTGGTTCTCTTGCACTAACCCATGCAGGCACCCGCACGCATGTGTGGTTGAGTTCCTGCGGGTATCCTAATTCATCTGCCCTCCTTTAATGCTGCTGCGTGCACGCATACGTCAGCACCTCTTGCAATCAATCACTCGCTTGCCCCGTTCTCTCCCTGCTCCTTGTGCTTCAGCTGTACTTTCTCTCCCCATTCGCTTCTGCCCTGAACCACACATGCATGGCATGGCATGGCGGCGTGGCATGGCATGGCATGGCATGGCATGGCACGGCATGGCATGGCAGGTGGACATAACAGCAGGGGGGTGGCATTCCATGGCAGTCAGTCGCTCCGGACAGGTATAGTCAGATGCAGTGTGTGATGCAGGCAGGCAGGATGACAGTGTGTGATGCAGGCAGGCAGGATGACAGTGTGTGATGCAGGTAGGCAGGATGACAGTGTGTGATGCAGGTAGGCATATAGATTTTGGATTGGGTTCTTGAGCCTACAGCATTCTCTTGAGCCTACAGCATACTCTTGAGCCTACAGCATACTCTTGAGCCTACAGCATACTCTTGAGCCTACAGCATACTCTTGAGCCTACAGCATACTCTTGAGCCTACAGCATACTCTTGAGGCTACAGCATACTCTTGAGCCTACGGCATACTCTTGAGCCTACAGCATACTCTTGAGGCTACAGCATACTCTTGAGGCTACAGCATACTCTTGAGCCTACAGCATACTCTTGAGGCTTATTACCACTCACCACCACCCCTCACTTATCTCTATCTCCCATACCCGCCATCTATTATCACCACTCTCTATACAGGTGTGGGCATGGGGAAGAGGGGAGCACGGGCGGATGGGGTTCGGCGAGGACAAGACAATCAAAGCCGTACCAACGGTGGTGACGCTGCTGGCGGGAGAAACAGTGGTGCAGGCCTCGTGTGGTGGCACACACTCCCTCGTTGTCACGCTTGATGGGCGAATGTTCACTGTGAGTCTCTGTTGATGGGCGAATGTTCACTGTGAGTCTCTGTTGATGGGCGAATGTTCACTGTGATTCTCTGTTGATGGGCGAATGTTCACTGTGAGTCTCTGTTGATGGGCGAATGTTCACTGTGTGAGTCGCTGTTGATGGGCGAATGTTCACTGTGTGAGTCGCTGTTGATGGGCGAATGTTCACTGTGATTCAGGCAGGGTGCATTCCTGGGAAGACGCACAAAAGGAGGCGTTCCAAAAACAGTGTACCACTCTGCACCGCATCACACCTATGGATCAAATGTATGCACCGCACCGTATCTCGACTTTCATGAATGCAAGGTTTTTGTGACGAGTGCCAGGAATGTGTTGATTGGCGAATGTTCAGTGTGAGTCACAGCAGTCCCGGTATTCATTGAATTTGCCACACTCTATTGTGTAACCTCATCCATACCCATTCCCCTCCTCTCTATCCGAACCTCCCTTCCCAGTTTGGCAGAGTGGACGATGGCAGGCTCGGGCCAGCAGGCTCGGTAACAACAGGCGACCTGGTCAGAGTTCCTCTCCCAGGGGACCCCGATGCTACCTTCCATCCGGATGACCATCCGAACCTGCATAGAAGGCTCGGCAGCATCAGCCGCTCCCTCAGCAACTCCTCTGAGCAGCCAAGAAGCCGATGGCGGGCGGCGTTTGCGGTGTGCGGTGGTCGACATAATTTGGCATTATTGTGTCCGGAGGAGGATTTGAGTGAGGTGAGCTGCCATTTGCCATGGCATAAGGCACAAAAGGAGAGAGAGGGGAAAAAAACGCAAGAGGGGCAGGTGCAAGGGGCAGGGGGGGCGGAGGCAGCAAGCAAGGCAGGGACAAGTGGATCGGACGCAGGAGACGGCAGCACACAGCAGGGTGGAAGCAACGGTGATGGAGAGCGTGCAGAGGGTGCTGCTACCATAGATGGTAATGACACGTAGGTGGATGGAGGAGTTCCTGTAGCTCACTGCAGTAATCCATACTAGCCTGAATGTGTCACACACACTGCCCTCTATTAAGAGCGTGTTCCTACGGGCCCCTATCAGGCCAGCCCCTTGTCAGACTCGCCTCAAACACCAGAATTTCGGAAAAAACGCATTGTGTATTAGACAGTTTGATCGTTTGTGAAGTGCGCGACAAAATGTGTTGGGTGACGTGGCACTGCGCAACGGTCCCGAAAGGTTGCAAAAGAACAAGTTTCCGAGTTCAGACAAATTTCAGGCGATTGAAACGTGTGTTTGGCGGAAAATTCTTTGTATGCTTCATACCCGACAAAACAGCATGTGTGAAGAATTTCGCACGATTCCCTGACCGTGGCTCGCTGAAACAGCACGTGCGAAAGATTTCGCGCGATTGCCTGACAAGGGTCACTGCACAGCACGTGCGAAAGATTTCGCGCGACCAATTCATCGAACAGCATTGTAATTCTTCAAGTCTGGAAAACGGTGTTAATAACGAAATCGCTCGCATGCACCGGCCTGACAAGGGGTTAGCCTGATAGGGGTCCGTAGGAACGCTCTAATAAGCTTAATGAATGAATTTGTGGCCCCTTCTGTCAGAACTCCCACTATCTTTCTTCGTATGACTTTGCATCAACATGAACAAGCACCATATGCAAGTGTAACACACCATTCGGCCTCACATCACATCACAGCAGTACCATCCCACACAGAAGAAATCCAACTGTTCAAACACCTTGCTAGTTTCGTCCGTAAAGGTAACACCTTCTCAATAATTCATCTGGGCAACCACACTCATAGCATCATCCACCACGCACTCCAGGTCGCCATCAGAATTGACGCGCACCACATCCCCTTCACCTTCCCCCACAGCCAGCAGCGCGAGCTGTGAGGGCAGCAGGCAGGGCGGCATGAAGTGGCCCTCTGTGTGGTGGCGCTGGGCCAGCCTGTCTGCCAGCACGAGGGGAGGAACGTCCAGCAGGATGAAGAGCAGGCGAGGTGCGCACGGTGCAGAGTGTTCTGTGCCTGTGCTGCTGGTGTGCTGCGGCTGAGCGAGACGGTTAGCGGGCAGGACTGGAGCACACGGTGCAGTGGGACATGTGCCTGTGCTGCCACGACCAATGTGGTTGCATGACGCATTGCCCGTTTCTCCCCTTCCACATACACCTCCCTTGCCACTGCTGCTGCTGCTGTTGCTGCCCTCGCTGGGCTGGCCGCATTGGCTGCTGACTGCTGCAGAAGCAGCAGCACTGGCCCTTGCAGCTGTGGCAGCATGCTCTGCACGCCCCGCACCCATCAACACACTCTCTCTTTCCCCACATGCCTCACAGCCCTGCGCTTCCCTCCCTGCCCCCACATTCCCTGCCCCCACATCCCCTGCCTCTGCGGTCCGCACATCCGCGTCTAACCTGCACCCATCTCCCCACCTCAGCACGTTGCGGTACGCGGGCGTGAGGGCGGAGCACGCCAGCACCAGCGGGCCACGGGTCGGGGGAGAGGGATGGGGCGGGGGAGGAGAGGGGAAGCGTGGCGGGGAGGAGCATGATAAAGGGGACAGCGCGAATGAATCAGCAGGGGCTTGACACGTGTGCTGTGGAGGAGCATGTGTCTGGGATCCCCGGTGTGTAGAGGGAGGAGGGAGGGGGAGCGCGTGCAAGGGGCAGAGCAGGGCGTGCAGGGAGAGCAGCCATGGCAGGCGGTCGGCGTCGCACAGGGGAGTACCTGCCGCCATCTTGGCTGCCAAGGGGGGAGGAGGAACGGGGCGAGGGGAGGGGTGGCAGAGCGGTTAGGTGAGGTGACAGGCGGTCGGCGTCAGACAGGGGAGTGCCTGCTGGCATCTTGGCTGGCGAGAGGAAAATGCGGGGAGGGTAGAGCGGGGAAATGCAGGGAGGGGAGAGCCGGGAAACGAGGGGGCAGGAAGAAAGGGCTTGGGTTGGTATGGAGAGCGCCAGTGGCACGAGACAGAGCGGGTGCCTGAACCGTGAGGGGTGGTCAGAGGCAGTGGGAATGACACAGGACGGTACAGTCAGCCACTTTGGGTGATGTACCCAGTCCTCAAAATGGCTCACTTAGGGTTGGAGGTGGGACAGGGAACGGGCATTCTGTGCTGGTTGATGGAGCAGGGAGATTTTGAGAATTCTCAAAAACTCCCTGGTTGATGGCTAGTGCTAGTGCACTGGAATGAGCCGTGCGACGGGGGTGCAGTGAGGAATGTGAGAGGGAGACTGGAGCTCCAGTAGTGAGATGGTGCAGAGACATGGAGGGTGCAGGTGGGAGGGAAGAGAAGGATAGGGAACAATACGGCGGACGCCACTCCGTCCATCCCACCCCATCCGATCTCACTCACCCCACAGCACCCTGTCCTACCCTATCCCAACCAATCCCACCCCATCCCACCCCACCATCTCAACCACCTTTATTCTCCCGCGAGTGGAAGTCATCAGCGTCGTGAAACTCCCACCCCAGCCTCTCCGCCACCCGTCTCCCCACACTCCTGACCACAGCGACCAATCAGCATGGGACGAAATAAAAAATTAATACAGAAATGTAAGAGATATCATACACTCAGCAGGTGTTTACTCCAGTTCCAAACCGGTCTCTCCGCAACCTGGCAGCCCGTGGCCGTGAGGAGACAACTAAAATAGGCGTGGCGTTGGGATGGAGGAGAAAGAGAAGCTTCGCTGAGTTCACGTGCAACCAAGGTGCCTCGCGTGCAACCAAGGTGTCTCGCGTCCATCACATCACTACGCTGCGCGAAGCATCCGCGACAAAACATGCGCGACAAACACGCGCGACAAAAGCACGCGCGACGAAGGAGCGACGCTACCTCACGTTTTCCCGCAGCCGCTGGGACCGATGACGATGACTGCGGACAGGGAGGGTAAGCACTTCGACTCCGCCATGACAAGCTTGGCTTGGGTCAGGTGATGGGGCGGGTGGCGTGTATTCGAGGAAAAATGGCGGAAGAGATTGAGCGAAAGTGGTTGATTGGCTCTTCAAACGGCCCTTGAAAACTATGATGAACGCGATTTGCGTTGTCTGTGATGATGACCAGGAGTGGTGGTGTCACTCGACTTCTCATAATCGTTCTGTACCGCTTTTCACAGAGATTCGCCTGTTGTAACCGAACCGAACCCATTTTATCCGATCCCGATATTGGAAGTTGGGATCCACCACACCGCGAAGAAGCCACATCAGAAACCTGATTCCGATCTTCCACGTCACAACATATGCCACGTATTACACGGTTCGCGGAACAGATCACGGACCGTGTGCCACCTAATCCCACAGAAAAGATCATCCACTCACGGCTGCTGCCTAATAATTCTCACGTAAGAACCGCCGCCATTCGCGTCCACTACGTTAGACGGCAGCGCCCATTGGGTACCGCATTACGCTACAGCAAGGCGACGCGTTCCCATTTCCTCCTCACTCCACCCTCTCGCCGCAGCACCCTAGTCCCATCAGACTCCCAGCCGAGTGAAGCCCAGGGCTTGCCCGCTGTGTTGTAGTAGCACTCGCAGAATACCATAAATTCTCCTATCGGGCGATGGGACTCGCATCATACCACAACTCATCAGTACCACCAGCGGCGTTCCACGACGACCACCATGTCCGTCATAAAGTCCGCAAGCAGCCCAAGGCCGCCCGGCAAGCTCGAGCTGGCGGACGACGCGACGCTCAAGGCGCACGTCACGGCGGCCTTCGATGAGGTCGACGCCCACAAGAGCGGCAAAGTGAGCCGCGCCGAGCTACGCCCGGCGTTTCTGCGCTTGGCGCGGCTGGCGGGGCTGCCGGAGCTGGGCGGTAGTTCGGAGTTGGACCGCGCGGTGGACGAAGCGTTCGAGACGGGCGAAGGCGACGAGACGGGCGAGCTGGGCAAGGACCACTTTGTCGCCTTGTCGCTGGGGTTGCTCAATGTCGTCAAGATCGTCGCGGCGTACGCAGGTCAGACTGCTGCTGCTCATGCGTCGCATATGCTGCTTCCGATGCGCGGCATCGTCTCAACGCCACTCCGTTCCTTGTGTGCGCCGCCGCCGCGCGTCTCCATCCTCCACTCCTCCGCGTCCAAGCGTGGCTCGGCTGGTCATGGGCCCGTTTGCAATGCCACGCGGATTGCCCCACCCCCACCTCCTCCCCCTTCTCCCCTCCTCCTTCTCCCCTCCTCCCCCACGCAATCCCCCAGCAGCGCCGCTGCTGTTGCAGGTGTTCACCTGCGGGGCGATGCGCCACTCGCCACCTAGCGCGGAGCAGCGAGCGGAGGCGGCGCTGGCGGAGGCGGCGTTCAAGCAGATGGACAAGGGCGGCCGCGGCAAGCTGTCCAAGCGGGACTTGCTGCCCGTGCTCGCCACGCTCGGCATCCAAGGCTCGCCTCCCCAAGGTCTGACGCCGCCCACACTGCCCCTTGCGTTGCCACCGCGCGTCCTGCGCGCATATGCTGCGCTTCTATGCCTCTAATCCCCCAACTCACCTCGCACTGCTCCCATCACCTCGCACCTGCCAGTGGCGGAGGCGACGCTGGCGGCGCTGCTGGAGAAGTACGTGGGGGGAGCGGAGGAGATGGGAGCTTCGTGCAGCTCGTGACGGGCATGGCGAATTTACTCGACTCGGGGGAGCAGCCTGCTTTCGCTCGGGAGGCGTCGATCGCGCTCAGCGCGTGCAGCCTTAGAAAGGTTGCTCTCACGCGCACACAATCCCCCCCTCCACCAATTCTCCGCACTCGCATGATGCTTCCCGCAGGGCTCCTCGTATGCCTTCCTCGCCAGTTCCGCCGTTCCCCAGTTCCCCCTCACTCCCACCCCCATTGCCCACCCCTACTCCTTGCCGCACGTGCTTGCCCTCCCACCTCCTCGCCCCTCGCCAGATCCTCGCGAGCAACGAGCCTCTCCAGAAGATGGTAAGCGAGACCTTTGCTGACTTGGACGTCAGCAAAGCCGGCCAGCTGTCACGCGCTGACCTCATGAGCGGGCTGCGGCAGTGGCTCACGGTGTGGCTGACGCCGCAGCAGGTGGACTCGCTACTCTCCCACCACTTCCCCGCAGCCGACGTTGACAGCAGCGACTCCGTGGACCGCGGCAAGTTCTCGACGCTGTTCCCCGCGCTGTTGGCGTCCCTCATAGAGCAGCTGGAGCAGACCCCCTTGGTGCTCAAGGCGTCCGTCCTCAAAGATCTGCCAGTGGGCGGCAATGTTAGAGGGTCCTAGGACAGCAAGGGCATCCGCGGAGTTTACTCGGTGGAGTGACTAACGACCTAGTATCTCGGCACCGAATGCCGTGACGGTCGCATCGGTGGTGCGTGACTACTAGCAGCAACGACAGTTTCGGTGCTAGGGGTGAAGAGTCATGTGGTGCTGCCTGGAACGCCTCTCCCTAGCTGTGTTGGGTGGAGTGGGGTGCACAGTAGTAACTTGGGTCTAGGAATTCGGTGGGGTACACCCGCAGCAGCGCCCACAACCATCCTCTGCTACCAGGGCCCTCGTTATCTTACCAAATTGATCTGTTCGTCTATATTTCAGACTTACCGAAACACCCCGGATATAACTGCAGGCCTATTAAAAGCACATGCGCTTCTATCTGGAGCAATGCGCTCATGGCTGATCCTCAATTATAAGATCACCCCCTTTAAAAACGTGATTTATTATAAGCGCATGTTAGTTTTCAATTTGAAAAGCTGTCAAATTACGGTAGCGAAGCTCGCTTTAGCAAGCTGATGACTTGAAAATCGTATTTCCTTCGCATTCAAACCCTGCAGGGTGCGCGTCCAGTTAGCATGTGCTGTCAGAAGCGCCTAGTGACTCATTTTGAGTGTATGTGCTGGCAGGGAATCTTTCCCTGCCAAGTAGCGAGAGATTTTCACCCACAACCCTATTTCAAATCGACTCGATTGGGTGCGCAATGACGCGAACTACATTCTTGTGCTAGTAATTTAAAATTGTATATCTGTTATTTTATAAGCGCATGCGCAGATATTTTTTACTCAATTATAAGCGCACCCCCCTGACAAATCATGTTTTATTATAAGCGCAGGTGCGCTTTTATCCGGGTAATACAGTACCGTACTTTTTTTGTCATACCATGATTTCATAAAACCGAAATACAAAATAATGAACCCTGTCCCATCTTGAAAGTGTGCTGTTGTTATGGGTGCAATGAATCGAGGTAGCGAGTGTCAAATTATATGCATGTTATATATGTGTAGGCTGTAGTGGGTTAGCCAATATAGGGTACAACCCCATTAGGGTTTCATATTTGTACGAAACCCTGATCTAGTCAATCCATGCCTGCTACTACATTCTAACATGGTTTCAGAGCACTAGGTCCGTAGGACCGTCTTTTTTTCTTCCGGGCCCACCTACCTTTGCGATTACCGCGCTACCCCACGTGTTATCCTGCGTGCGCCTTCGCCTGCCTTGCCTTGTGACGTGCTGCGCTGCACGCGCCGTCCTGCAGCCCTCGTGCTGCCTACTGTTGCCCTAGCTACGCGCGCACCGCCCCGTAGACCCGTAAGGCCAGCGCGCCACCCCTGCAGGCCCGAAAGGCCAGCGCGGCGCCCCTGCAGGCCCGTAAGGCCCGCGCACTGCCCATGCAGGCCCGTAAGGCCCACGCGCGGCCCCTGTAGGCCCGCCAGGCCCGCGAGCCGCCCCTACAGGCCCGTCAGGCCAGAGCGCCGCCCCGCCCTGCAGCCGATGCGGCCCCGCCAGGCCCCTGTCGCGGCCCCGCCCTACCGCTGATGCGGCCCCACCCTGCCGCGATCGCGGCCCCGCCCTGCCGCCGACGCGGCCCCGCCGGGTTGCTGTAGCGGCCCCACCCTGTCGCTGATGCGGTCCCACCCTGCCGGTGTCGCGGCCCCGCCCTGCCGCCGACGCGGCCCTGCCCTCCCACTGTCGTGGCCCCGCCCTGCCCTTGACGCGGCCCCGCCAGGTCGCTGTCACGGCCCCGCCCTGCCGCTGACGCGGCCCCGCCCTGCCGCTAACGCGGCCTCGCCCTACCGCCGACGCGGCCCCGCCCTGCCACTGTCGCAGCCCAGCCCTGCCGCCGACGCGACCTCGCCTGGCCCCGCCCTGCCGCCGACACGGCCCCGCCTTGCAGCAGCTGTCGCGACCCCGCCTTGCAGCAGCTGTCGCGACCCTGCCCTGCCGCTGTCGTGGCCCCAGCCTTGCAGGTGACGCGGCCCTACTCTGCAGCCGCTGTTGCGGCCCCGCCGTCGCCGCCGTCGTCTGCTGAGCGCCGGCCCTGCTCGCCCGGCGAGCGCCTGCCCTTCCCGCCACTAGTGAGAACCTGCCCTACCAGCGCTTCCCGCGCGCCTGCATTGTTAGCGCGCTGCCGCGCCATCTGCCTGCCTGCCTGCCCTGCCCGCGCTGCTACTGCTGCTACTTCTGTTACTGCTGCTTGGTTGCTGCTGCTGCTGCTACTGGTGCTACTAGCGGTGGCCAGATGCAGCTCCAGCGACGTCCGCGTGAGTCTCTCACGCCCCAGCAGCTTCGCGAGTGGTACGCTAGTTGGGGTTGTGCCGGTAGCCGTCGTAGCTATCGCCCCGGAGCTGGTCAATCAGGAGCGTCTGGCAGTGGCCAGCAGCAGCGGCGTCCGCGCGAGACACTTACGCCCCAGCAACTTCGTGAGTGGTATGCTCAGAGTAGAGGGTCTCGGAGTACCGTTCGCTGCCCGTACGTCATTTGCACAGGTGATCGGGCTGTTCAAGCTTGCGAGACGCTTGGTCACACACAGTCCCGCAGCTTCGTTTGTTTGAGCGACGCCTAGCGTACCGAGTTTGGCGACGAGGCTGAGCTCCCCACCTGGCTGGAGCTGCTTAGGCAGAGGGTAGATATATTTGCTCTTGACTATGATGCTATTCTCACTGCCAAGTATGCATTGCCTACTAGTGCTGACGGTGCCTGTTACCTTTGCGTACCGCCTGACCCAGGTATAGAGCCTGCTGCTCTAGGTGCTGATGAGGCTGCTGCTCTGGGTGCTCGTGCGTCGCCTGCTCTAGGTGCTGATGAGGCTGCTGCTCTAGGTGCTAGTGCGTCTCCTGCTCTAGGTGCTGGTAAGGCTGCTGCTCCAAGTGCTGGTGAGTTTGCCTCTGTGGTACTGCGCCTGCTGAGGCCCTGTACACCTTCACACTTGACTCAGGTGCTTCCTGCTCCTTCTTTCCCGACAGCACCACCCTCACGCCGCTCAGTCGGCCGGTTGCAGTCTCCCTGGCAGACCCCTCTGGGGGTTCAGTCCTTGCGCACTCCTCCATGGTCCTGCCATGTTCGGCGGTCCCGTCTGGCTCCCTCTCAGGTCTTCACCTCCCCTCGTTCTCTATGAACTTGGTGAGTGGTGCTGACCTCCAGGACCAGTGGGTTGACCAGTTCATTCCTGGAGGTCAGCGCGTGACCCACTGTACGTGCTCCCGGACGGGCCGACACCTGGCCACGTTTACCCGTGCGCCTGGCTCGAGTCTGTACACACTGACTACTGTGTTCCCCTAGGTCGTTGCGTCTGCTAGCGGCCCCCTGCTCGTGTCGCGCTTTGTCGCACCAGACCCTCCTTTGGCACCACCGTCTTGGTCACCCCTTGGTGCAGAGCCTTCGTAGCATGCACCGCCGTGTCCTTGTCTCTGGTCTTCCCAGGGTTCTCCCTCCCCTCCCACCCTCGCCTGCTCCTCCCTGCCTTGCCTGTGTCAAGGGGCGGCAGCGCGCCGCTCCTCACTCCTCCTCGTTTCCCCCGACGACTGCTCCCCTGCAGACCCTGCACATGGACGTGTGGGGCCCAGCCCGCGTCAGTGGGCAGGACCGCGAGCGGTACTTCCAGCTGGTTGTTGACGACTACTCGCATTACACCACGGTCTTCCCCTTGCGCACCAAGGGTGAGGTCCCTGATGTATTGATCCCTTGGATCCGCGCTGCCCATCTCTCGCTCCGTGAGCGGTTCGGGACGGAGTTTCCCGTCCTGCGTCTGCACTGTGACAGAGGTGGGGAGTTTTTCTCCGACCTTCTGCAGAGCTTTTGTCGTGGGGAGGGCATTTGCCAGACGTTCACGCTTCCGGCCTCTCCGTAGCAGAATGGGGTTGCTGAGCGCCGCATTGGCTTGGTCATGGAGGTCACTCGTACCTCCATGGTCCATGCGGCTGCGCCCCATTTTCTGTGGCCATTTGCGGTCTACTACGCCGCGCATCAGCTCAACCTCTTGCCCCGTGTCTCCTTGCTGGAGACCTCGCCCACACTGCGGTGGACGGGGGAGGTTGGCGATGCGTCGGTGTTCCGGGTCTGGGGCTCTCGTGCCTTTGTCCGCGATACCACCGCGGACAAGCTCTCCGCCCGCGCTGTTCCCTGTGTTTTCCTTTGCTTTGTCCCTGACGCGCCTGGTTGGCAGTTTTACCACCCCACCTCGTGCCGTGTCTTCCCCTCTCATGACGTCACTTTCGACGAGCCGGTTCCCTTGTACCGTCTCTTCCCCTACCGCACTGCCTCTCTCCCCCCCTCGCCGCTCTTCCTTGCTGCAGGTGCTCCCCAGGTAGACCCCCTCCCCGCTCCCGGTCCTGCTCCTTCAGGTGTGTCTCAGGTAGACCCTCTTCCCTTGACTGCGCCGTTTGAGGTCACTGGTGACTCAGGTCCTTCTGAGGGTGGTCCTGCTCGGGGTGCTCCTTCTTGGGGTGCTGAGCCTGGGGGTGCTGAGCCTGTGGGTGCGGAGCCTGGGGGTGCTGCGCCTGGGGGTGCAGAGCTTGGAGGTGGTGAGCCTGGGTGTGAGGAGTCTGGGGGTGCTGAGCCTGGGGGTACTGAGTCTGGGGGTGCTGCACCTCAGGGCGCTGAGGCGTCTTGTGAGCAGTCTCCCTGGAGCGGCCGTCACCGTAGTCGCTCCGCTGGTGCCTCGCCGTTGCACTCTCGTCGTCGTCTCCCTCTCTCCCCACAGCAACTGCGTGAGTGGTACGTTAGCCGTCAGGGTCGAGCTGCTGGAGCTGGGGGCCCTGCTGCGGGAGGCGCTGGTGTTGGAGGCACTGGAGCCGGCGCTGTCCCTCTGTCCCCACAGCAGCTGCGTGAGTGGTACGTTAGCCGTCAGGGTCGCGCTGCTGGAGCTAGGGGCCTTGCTGAGGGAGGCGCTGGAGCTGGTGACTCTGCTACTGGAGGTTTTTCTACTGGAGTTCTTGGAGCAGCTGGACCTAGAGGTGCTCGTACAGGAGGTACTGGAGCTGCTGGGACTGGAGGTCCTGCTGGAACTAGAG